AAGTCAGAAAGTGCTTACTTATGTACATTGTTGCATCTTAACACATACATTGTATTCGCTAAAACGCCCCACTTTCTCCTATTAAAAATAGCAACTGCCCTCATCTTGTTTTGAACATTCAACATATCCATTTTTTCTTACATTTTAGTGGGTTGGCAGACTCACAGAAGTCAGTAGCAGCGGATCACAATGCATGTTACATGAAAAGGCAGGTCACCGTACACTGACACCAGACAACACACCTTCCTGACCCTACAAAACTTGCAGCTTTAAGATATGCTGCTATACTTTAAGATATAAGATATACTGCTACAGGGCGGCACGAGTGCGCAAAATCACGTACATACATATTCGCGGCCGTCGTTGTCCATCTCCGGGTCCCGGCCAGTGATTACTTGCCGGCGCCCGGTGATTGCCAAGTATCTCCGACAGGGAGGTGAACTGTTTGTAAACAAAACAGTTCTCCTCCCTGTCAGATCGTGCACACTGCTTTGGATGGGTGTGCACAGCAGTCATGCAAAGCAGTGTGCTTACAGTGACGCACAGAGACACAGCCCAATGTAAAACAGCACACAGTTAACCCTTTGATTGCCCCACATTAACCCCTTCCTGCCCAGTGTCATTAGTACAGTGTCAGTGCTTTTTATTAGCACTGATCATTGTATTGGTGTCACTGGGGATGTCAGTGACACCAAGTCAGTTCCCCCCCAGTGTCAGAATGCCTACAGCAGTCCCACTATAAGTCGCTGATAGCCGCCATTACTAGTAAAAATAAAAAATAATATTCCAGTATATATACCGCCATTTGAAAACGCTATAGCTTTCATGTAAACCAATCAATTTACATGTATTGGGATTTTTTTTTAGCAAAGACATAGCAGAATACATTTTGGCCTAAATTTATGACGAAATTAGATTTTTTCAGGTTTTTTTTTATGGACGTTTAACCACTTGCCTACCAGGCACTTATACACCCTTCGTGCTCAGGCCAATTTTCAGCTTTCAGCGCTGTTGAATGACAATTGTGCGGTCATGCAACATTGTACCCTTATGAAATTTTTATTTTTTTCACACAAATAAAGCTTTCTTTTGGTTTTATTTAATCGCCGCTGGGTGTTTTATTTTTATAAACAAAAAAAGAGCAAAAAATTAAAAAAAAAAGTTTTTCTTTGTTTCTATTATAAAATTTTGCAAACAAGTAATTTTTTTCCTTCACTGATGTGCATTGATGAGGCTGCACTGATAGGCAGCACTGAGATGGCATGCATAGGCAGCACTGATGGGCACTGATAAGGTGGCACGGATAGGCAGCACTGATGGGCACTGATAGGTGGCATTGATAGGCAGCACTGATGAGCTGGCACTGATGATGCTACACGGATAGGCGACACTGCTGGGCGCTGACTGGTGGCACTACTGGGCACTAATTGGTGACACTGCTGGGCAGCACTGATGGGTACAGGTGGGTGGCACTGATGAGTACAGGTGGGCAGCACTGATGGGCACAGGTGGGCGGCACTGCTGATCACTGATGATCAGTGCCGATCCCTTTGCTGACAAATGTACTTTCCTCATGCTGTGACAGAGTGAGGAAAGTGCAGCCGATAGCCAGCAACTGTATTTACCCGGTGATCTGATGTTTCATTGGACACAGCTGATCACGTGGTAAAAGGCCACTGTGATTGGCCTTTTACTGTATCGCATGATCAGCTGTGTCTGCAAGACACAGTGATCACCAGCGGCGGCGGGGTGCGCACTGCGGGGGGCGCGTTCTGGGAGGACGTCCGTGAATTCCCTCCCAGAACTAGACAACCGCGTTGTAGCCGTCTTTCAGCTATAGCACGGTTGGGAAGTGGTTAATAAACAAAAAAGTCAAAAATATTGTTTTTTATCAAAATCGTGGGTATTTTGTTTTTTACAGCGCAAAAAATAAGAAATGCACAGGTGATCAAATACCACCAAAAGAAAGCTCAATTTGTGGGAAAAAAAAGGACGTAAATTTAATTTGGGAGCAGCGTTGCATTACCGCGCAATTGCCAGTTAAAGGAATGCAGCGCCGGAACGCAACAAATGGCCTGGTCAGGAAGGGGGGTAAATCCTCAGGAGGGCAAGTGGTTAAGCACAAACATGTATCTAAATGGGTCCAAAGAGGAGAAATAACCACTGCACATGATGTAACATAGCACAGCGCTGAGATCATGCAAGACCAAGTTGTTTGTGTGTATGGATCTATAGATGATTTTCTCAGGTTTGATTAAAGACGCAGAATACAGAAAACTGCCAAAGTGAAACAATCCTGTAGAAGATGCAGTTGTTGGAAATGAAACTTTGTAAACCCTTGGGAATTTTCTTGATTTCTTCATGAATAACTTTTAGAATGTGAATATGATGATGTTAGCCATAATAATAAGGGATATGGAAGCTGTCAATGGTGATCTCTCCTGAAAATGCTATCTGCCTGGATTTCATATTGATCCAGTGGCTTTAATCCTGATCTGAAAGGCACTGATCTGGGACAAGTATAGAGTTCAGGGACTATGACTTGACTCTTAAAGCTGTATGTTTTTTTCACACCCATTTTTGATGCATTTTTTTGTATTTTTTATGCATTTTGTGCTATGTGCGAGTTGGTTGTCAAGGAACAGGCGGCTGCCAGCATCCTTAACAACTGATGAGTCAGCAGCTGTCAGTGGGGTTTCCCTCTGACAGCTAAATATAAACTAATCTATTGCCTGCAAGTAAAAAAAAATTAAACAATTGGGGAAAAAAGCAGTGTGGTCCCCCTCCAATCCTTACCAGGCCTTCAGGTCTGATATGCATTTTAAGGGGAACCCTACGCCAACATTTAACAAACGGCATGGGGTACCCCCCAAAATCCATACCGGACCTCAGACCTTATCTGAGCATGCAGCTCAGCAAATCTGGAAGGGGGGGGGGGGGGGGAGACGTGGGCCTTTTCCCCACAACCCTGGGTCGTGGGGGTTTGCAGGGGGGGGATGGGACTTATCAGAATATGGAAGGTTAAAGGGGGCCCCCAGATCCCAGCCCCTCCTTGTGAATGAGTATGGCATTCATAGTATCCCTACTCATTCACCAAAAAGTGCCAGAAGTGAATAAAAAGTCCTTTAATTAAAAAAAAAAAAAAAAAAAAAGATCACCAAAGTAGATGCAACGTCAATCAGGATGAACGTCGCCTCCACCGACCCAAAGAAAGAAAAAACTCTGTTCCCGATGAACGTTCCCACCGTCTGATAGCTCTTAAATAAGCCAAGGGACAAAGCCAACCAGTAACATCACCTGGTGACCCCACCCCCTTATGACATTGTCACACCAGTATGCCCCAATGACACCGGGTGGCTCCACATCTTGGCTTAAGAGCTGTCAGACGACGGAAGCCTTTATCGGGAGCGGAGGTTTTTATTTTTTCCTCGGGTCAGCAGCGGCGTTCATGTGATTGACATTGGGGACAATTTTTGTTCTTTTTTGATAAAAGACTTGTCAAAAAACTGTTGCTGAGTTTTTATTCACATTGGACACTTTTTTTGTGAATTAGTAGGGGTGCTAAGTACCCCATACTCATTCGAAAGGGGGGGCGGGATCTGGAGGCCCCCTTGTTAAAGTCACCCCCCAACAGACCCCTACAACTGCAGCCCAGGGTTGTGGGAAAAAGACCCTTGTCCTCATCAACATGGAGGCAAGGTGCTTTGGGTCCATGTTGAGGGCATATGGCCTGGTATGGTTAAGGAAGGGGTGCTTGCTTGTTGCCCCCCCCCCCTTTTTTTTTTAATTCTGGTGTGGGGTTACCCTTAAAAACCTTACCAGACCTGAAGGGCCTGGTAAGAATTGGAGAGAGTGATCCCATGATGTTTTTTTCACAATTTGTTTTTCTAATTGCTGGCAATAGGTCTGTTTATATTCAGGCTGTCAGTGGGGAATCCCGCTGACAGCTGATGACTCATTGGTTGTTAAGGACGCAGCGGCCACCCGCTCCTTAACAACCATGTTGTTTACTGGTTAAGAACGCCTGTGGCCATCCGTTCCTTAACAAACAGCTTAAAGTCACACATAACACAACCAGGCCACATGCCCTCAACATGGGGGGGGGGGTACTTTGAGCCCCCCCCCCCCCAAAGCACCTTGTCCCCATGTTGCAAGGACAAGGGCCTCTTCCCCACAACCCTAGGCTGTGGTTGTGAGGGTCTGCGAGGAGTGACCTATCGGAATCTGGAAGCCCTCCCTAACAAGGGGGCCCCCAGATCCTGCCCCCCATGTGAATATGAGGTACATAGTAGCCCTACTCATTCACCAAAAAAGTTTCAAAAGTGAATAGAAAACTAAACGACAGTTTTTAAGTCCTTTATTAAGAAAGTAAAAAACAATTGTCCCTCAAAGTAGATCCAGCGTCAATCACAATAAACTCCCACCGCCGACACAAAGAAGAAAAAAATAATTTTTCTACATTTTTTATTGGATGTTTTATAGCAAAAAGTAAAAAAAAATTTTTTTTAAAAATTGTATTTTTTTGTTTATAGCATAAAAAAAAATTAAAAACGCAGAAATGACACCACCGAAAGAAAGCTCTATTCGGGGGGGGGGGGGGGGGGTGGGAATGACACAAATTTCATTTGGGTGCAGCGTTGCATGACCGCGCAATTGTCAAACTAACGCAGCGCAGTATCGCAAAATATGGCCTGGTCAGGAAGGGGGGTAAGTCCTCAGGAGGGTAAGTGGTTTGGGATTTTCTTTACTCTCAGTTCTGATGATAGGACAGGAGATATGTAGACGGTGAATCTCCCTAATGGGGACACAGCCCGCCATATCACCTGACTGAGGTTCTAATCCCTCTCTATTCTGTCCAAAACGAGAAAACATTTTGCCTTTAGTGCCTCCATCCAGCAGTAGAATGTGGCGGCTTTGTATGGAGGAATAGGAAGACTAGTGAGGACTGTATGTCCTATGAGGAGGAGAGCCTCCACACTGTACACGGAGCGCACTCTTACCAGGCAGGCCTCCTCATGAGCCCGCACTATCCGAAGCACCTCAGGATCGGCCTCCTCCCCCCGACCAGGCCCCGGACTTTCCTGCTGCCGCTCCACGCATGTGTCCTGTGCGGCCGCCATGTCAGAGCTGAGCCATCGTTCCGGCCAGAGGAGGGGGGAGGAGGGAGGCACAGAGCCCCGGACTATGGGGACAACCCGGGACACAGAGCGCCGCACACAGCGAACCAAGGGAACCATCCAGAGGACACGGAGGGTGGACTCCTCCCTCCTCCCCTGTGTGGGCCAACACCCGGCGATATCACTCTGCTATGTGTCATTATAATCCAGGACGGAGGTTGTATGTGACTAGGAAGGATTCCTAACAAGGCCCTGGACTCTATGGAGGCGTATTGTGGTAATAAATAGACTCATTTCAGTCATGTGATAGGATTTTTCAATCCATGAAATTCCTGAAGATGCAATGGAGCTCTGTGCTTTCTCCTATACCGGCGTTTATCAACCAGGGACCCCTACAGCAGGGGTCTCCACACTGAACAAAGGGCCAGTTTTCTGGCTTTCAGACTTTAGGGGGGCCGTACTGTAACCAGTGGGAGTGGAAAATGCTGCAGAAGAAGTGCCCAATCATTGGTGTCAGTGGAAGGATTAGTGCCCTGTTGTTGGCATCAGTGAGAGGAATAGTGCCACAACATTGGTGTCAGTGGAAGGAAATTTGCCCCAATATTGGTGTCATTGGAAGGACTGGTGTCGCAACATTGGTGTCAGTGGAAAGACTGGTGCTCCAACATTGGTGTCAGTGGAAGGAATGGTGCCCAACATTGGTGTCAGTGCAAGGACTGGTGCCCCAACATTAGTGTCAGTGGAAGGACTGGTGCCCCAACATTGGTGTCAGTGGAAGGACTGGTGCACCAACATTGGTGTCAGTGCAAGGACTGGTACTCCAACATTAGTGTCATTGGAAGGACTCGTGCCCCAACATTGGTGTCAGTGGAAGGACTGGTGCTCCAACATTGGTGTCAGTGCAAAGACTAGTGCTCCAACATTGGTGTCAGTGGAAGGACTGGTGCCCCAACATTTGTGTCAGTGCAAGGACTGGTGCTCCAACATTGGTGTCAGTGGAAGGAATAGTGCCCTGTTATTGGTATCAGTGGAAGGAATAGTGCCCTGTTCTTGGTATCAGTGAGAGGAATAGTGCTGCAACATTGGTGTCAGTGGAAGGAACAGTTCCCCAACATTGGTATCAATGAAAGAAAATTTGCCCCAATATTGGTGTTAGTGGAAGGACTGATGCCCCAACATTGGTGTCAGTGGAAAGACTGGTGCTCTAACATTGGTGTCAGTGGAACGACTGGTGCCCCAACATTGGTGTCAGTAGAAGGAACAGTTCCCCAACATTGGTATCAATGAAAGAAAATTTGCCCCAACATTGGTGTTAGTGGAAGGACTGATGCTCCAACATTGGTGTCAGTGGAAGGACTGGTGCTCCAACATTGGTGTCAGTGGAAGGACTGGTGCCCCAACATTGGTGTCAGTGCAAGGACTGGTACTCCAACATTGGTGTCAGTGCAAGGACTGATGCTCCAACATTGGTATCAGTGGAAGGACTGGTGCTCCAACATTGGTGTCAGTGGAAGGACTGGTGCTCCAACATTGGTGTCAGTGGAAGGACTGTGTGCTCCAACATTAGTGTCAGTGGAAGGACTGGTGCCCCACCATTGGTGTCAGTGCAAGGACTGGTACTCCAACATTAGTGTCATTGGAAGGACTGGTGCCCCAACATTGGTGTCAGTGCAAGGACTGGTGCTCCAACATTGGTGTCAGTGCAAGGACTGGTGCTCCAACATTGGTATCAGTGGAAGGACTGGTGCCCCAACATTGGTATCAGTGGAAGGACTGGTGCTCCAACATTGGTATCAGTGGAAGGACTGGTGCTCCAACATTGGTATCAGTGGAAGGACTGGTGCCCCAACATTGGTATCAGTGGAAGGACTGGTGCTCCAACATTGGTATCAGTGCAAGGACTGGTGCTCCAACATTGGTATCAGTGGAAGGACTGGTGCCCCAACATTGGTATAGTGGAAGGACTGGTGCTCCAACATTGGTATCAGTGGAAGGACTGGTGCTCCAACATTGGTATCAGTGGAAGGACTGGTGCTCCAACATTGGTGTCAGTGGAAGGACTGGTGCCCCAACATTGGTGTCAGTGCAAGGACTGGTACTCCAACATTAGTGTCATTGGAAGGACTGGTGCCCCAACATTGGTGTCAGTGGAAGGACTGGTACTCCAACATTGGTGTCAGTGCAAGGACTGATGCTCCAACATTGGTATCAGTGGAAGGACTGGTGCTCCAACATTGATGTCAGTGGAAGGACTGGTGCTCCAACATTAGTGTCAGTGGAAGGACTGGTGCCCCACCATTGGTGTCAGTGCAAGGACTGGTACTCCAACATTAGTGTCATTGGAAGGACTGGTGCCCCAACATTGGTGTCAGTGCAAGGACTGGTGCTCCAACATTGGTGTCAGTGCAAGGACTGGTGCTCCAACATTGGTATCAGTGGAAGGACTGGTGCCCCAACATTGGTGTGAGCGGAAGGAATAGTGCCTTGTTATTGGTATCAGTGGAAGGAATAGTGCCGCAACACTGGTGTCAGTGGAAGGACTGGTGCTCCAACATTGGTGTCAGTGGAAGGAATAGTGCCCTGTTATTGGTATCAGTGAGAGGAATAGTGCCGCAACATTGGTGTCAGTGGAAGGAACAGTTCCCCAACATTGGTATCAATGAAAGAAAATTTGCCCCAATATTGGTGTTAGTGGAAGGACTGGTGCCCCAACATTGGTGCCAGTGGAAAGACTGGTGCTCCAACAATGGAAGGCCTGTAAACAAAGATGTGTCCATGGACACATAGGAAAACATTAGGGAGAGTTCAGGGGCTGCTGAAAAAAAACGCAGAAAAGCTCCTAAACGTGAGTTTATCAGCTGCAGTGTACATGAGCCCTAAGAGCATTAGGTGTCATTTCTGTCTGCTGGCTCTTTCCTCTGCTATCAGTATGAGTCACTTCTGACAACTTTTCCTGAGACCAAGAGAAAAAAGGTGACGGGAGGGATCTCCAGCTGATTGACAGCCCTGACTCTATTCCTGTGAGCTGTGTGGAGGTGGTGTGTCCCTTCCCTCCAATCATTTCTCAGAGCTTTCCTCACTGAGCTCTGCAAACTGTCACTTTCGCTCTCTGTCCACATTTTGTGAACTCTCGGACAAGCTTTATAAATTCTGGACATTGAATGATGTAGAGGAGAGAAGACTGCGGATAAACAGCTACATTATATGTAGGATGGTTTGTTTAATCTCTGTATCACTTGAGGTCAGTCACTTCTCTGGGCATTTCTTAGGGTTTACAGCCACTTACAACAATGAGCAATTTTTGACTCTCAGATAAGTAACCATTGACCCCAATAATCAACTTGTAAGGTGACCATTCTTCCCAGTGATCACCAGTGCAATAGGGTACTTCTCCCACTGACTCCCCAGTGACCACCAGTGTACAGGGGCCCTTTCTACTCACCAGCAATATAAAGGACCCGCCTCGCTGACCACCAGTGTAAAGAACCACCTCACTGACCACCAGTGTAAAGAACCACCTCACTGACCAGTGTAAACAACGACCTCACTGACCACCAATGTAAAGAACCACCTCACTGACAACCAATGTAAAGAACTACCTCGTTGACCACCAGTGTAAAGAACCACCTCACTGACCACCAGTGTAAACAACGACCTCACTGATCACCAATGTAAAGAACCACCTTATTGACAACCAATGTAAAGGACCACCTCACTGACCACCGGTGTAAAGGACCACCTCACTGACCACCGGTGTAAAGAACCACCTCACTGACCACCAGTGTAAAGAACCACCTCACTGACCACCAGTGTAAAGAACCACCTCACTGACCACCAAGTGTAAAGAACCACCTCACTGACCAACAGTGTAAAGAACTACCTCGTTGACCACCAGTGTAAAGAACCACCTCACTGACCACCAGTGTAAAGAACCACCTCACTGACCACCAGTGTAAAGAACCACCTCACTGACCACCAGTGTAAAGAACCACCTCACTGACCACCAGTGTAAACAACGACCTCACTGACCACCAGTGTAAACAACGACCTCACTGACCACCGGTGTAAAGAACCACCTCACTGACCACCGGTGTAAAGGACCACCTCACTGACCACCAATGTAAAGAACCACCTCACTGACCACCGGTGTAAAGAACAACCTCACTGACTACCAGTGTAAATAACCACCTCACTGACCACCAATGTAAAGAACCACCTTCAATGACCACCAATGTAAAGAACCACCTCACTGACAACCAATGTAAAGGACCACTTCACTGACCACCAATATAAAGAACCACCTCACTGACAGCCAATGTAAAGGACCACTTCACTGACCACCAATGTAAAGAACCACCACACAAGAGCACTCATACTTTTTTCATGTGAGCACCAAGCACTGTCTTCAAGAGTTACAGCAGATGAGGAATCTTCAGCATCCAACACACTTCAGATGTCTGGTCCCTTGCTGTTCGCTGTGATTTCACTACATCACTACTGTGACCTATTGTGATGTAGGAGCTGGCAGGTGAAACCAAAGATCACCCAGTGGGGGACCAGACATCCAACTCTCCCAAGCATTTCTTCAGCCATAGCTCTTGAAGAGAGTTATGACTTGCAGCCCACTGGAGAGAAAATAATAATTATTGATAGTCACCTTAACAGGTTGGCTTATAGCACCGCTAACATTTCTGGACATACAGTCACCAGCCACTTTATTAGGTACACCTGTTCAATTGCTTGGTAACACAAATTGCTAATCAGCCAATCACATGGCAGCAACTCAATGCATTTAGGCATCTAGACATGGTAAAGACGACTTGCTGAAGTTCAAACTGAGCATCAGAATGAGGGAAGAAAGGGGATTTAAGTGTCTTTGAATGTCGCATGCTTGTTGGTGCCAGACGGGCTCGTCTGAGTATTTCACAAACTGCTGATCTACTGGGATGTCCATGCACACCCATCTCTAGGGAAATCAAGACTCATCAGACCTGGCAACATTTTTCCAGTGTTCTATTGTAAACTTTGGCACCCAGAATGGCACCCAGAGTGGTCTTCTGCTGCTGTAGCCCATCTGCTTCAAGGTTTGACATATGCATTCAGAGATGGTATTCTGCATACCTTGTTGTAATGAGTGGTTATTTGAG